GAGACCGAAAGCGAGAAATCACCCCCCAGGGGGGATGACCACACCACAATCCCTTCTCCTCCATTCTCCTCTTGGGATCTTGGGTATACATGCACACGCGCCCAGCGTGAGTTTAAGCCACTAGGTCTGGGACTCGAACCACGGTTGACTGCGTGGGAGTCCAGCGACATAGCCATTACGCTAACTGCTGGTCCCACCATCCAGTTTTCTAAGCACCAAGCCCACCTCCGGAGACCATCCACCTGACCCTTCTGCTTTATCATGTTAGCAAAAACCAAAGATTCCGGATGGGCCACGTGCTTTTAACACTGAAAGGCAGGCGCGCGGGTTGGGAGTAGAACGCCTGGGAAACAAAGGCTGCCAAGGACTCAGACACAAACCAGACGGGCCCAGTGGTTTCTCTGGGGAGCAGGGCAAGGGCCTGCACAGCCCGTCCCTGGACAGCCCTGGCCCGTGCACCTGTGCGCATCAGCTTTCTGGGCCTCGCCAGGAACGGCAGTGGCCAGCACTGGGAGCACACGGCTTAGAGGACCAGGTGGCGGTGGACGAGGAAATGGTCTAGTTCAACGCCAACGCTTCTTACAGCTTAAAGAATTCACTGCCCAAGACTGATTTACTCCGTGTCCTGGAAGGTCAGCCATATGCAGAGCCTCCAAGGTCCAAGAGCAAACCAGACTGCACTGCACCACAACTCATCCCAGAGGACGATGGGCAAGACGGGCGTGTGAAATAGAAGGGTGTTACAGACAGTGAGGAGTGCAGTGAAAAATGGAGTCGGGCCGGGAATCAGCAGTTAGCGTAATGGCTATGTTGCTGGACTCCCACGTAGTCGACCATGGTTCACGTCCCGGACCCAGTGGCTTAAAACTCACGCTGGGCGCGTGTGCGTACGTGCCCAAGATCCCAAGAGGAGAATGAAGGAGAAAGGATTGCGGTGTGACCATCCCCCCTGGGGGGTGATTTCTCGCTTTCTGTCTCTCTGTCTCTCTCTGTCTGTCTGGCGAGCGCAGGCCCCCTATAGCGAAAATCTCTCCAAAAAAAAAAAATGGAGTCAGGCCAGCCCCATAGCCTAGTGGTCAAAGGAGTTCGATCCCACAAGGCCGGCTGTGCAGTCGGGTCCTGGCCCCAGTAGCTTGAAAACCATGCAGGCATGTATGTGCCCAAAGTCCCGACGGGGTGCAGAGTGGAGGGGGGCTGTGGTGTGACCGTGTTATACTGGGGACTACATTCTCACTTTCTCTCCATCTCTTTCTGTATCTCTCTGTCAAGTACATGTGCCCTCTGGCAAAGGAAAAAAACAATGATCCCCTGGAACCAGCAGATGGCATAATGGTTACGTCACTAGACTCTCATGTAGTTCAACTGCAGTTCAAGGCCCAGACTCAGCAGCTTAAAACTTATGCTGAGCACATGTGTGTGCATATCCAAGATCCTGAGAGGAGAATGGAGAAGAGACTGTAGCACGGCCATCCCCCCAGGGATGATTTCTCACTTTCTGTCTCTCTGGAGAGTACACACGCCCTACAGCAGAAATCTCTCTCTAAAAAAAAAAAAAAGAAAGAAAGAAGAGCTCCCCCTACACCCCCCAAAGCAAAAGAAAGCAAATTAAATGAAGTGCTGGATGGAAAGTGATAGGATGGAGCCACCTTAGAGAGGTAGTCCAGGAAGACTTCTTGGAGGAGGAGGTAACATTTGAGCTGGCACACAAAGGAAGCAAGGGAATGGGCCATGGAGCGCTGTTCCAGGCAACAAAAACAGAAAGTGCAAAGGCTCCTGACAACAGAGAACCCGGCATGCTCAAAAATGACGCTGGTACGGCCAGAGTGGAAGGAGCAAAGGGGACACAGGATGGAGACGTGGCTGGGGACAGGCAGGCGGTGGGAATAGTGGAAAGGTCACGAGATGACTCACCTCAAAGTCCTGATACTGCTCCTCCGCCAGAGACTTCTTGGCCACCACGAGCACCCGCAGCCCTTCTCGGGCCATGTTGCCACACTGTAAAGCAGACGGGGGTCAGCGGGGGCCGTGCCGAGGCCTCACCCCCAAGTCCTGACTCTCCCCGAGGCCCCACCCTCCCCGAGGACCGACTCTCCCCGAGGCAGGACTGCACGCTGGAGCAGACGTGCCCTTCCGAGGCGACAGTGGGCAAGGAGAGTTGGAAAACTGCTTCTCCTAGAGCGATCCTGCCTGCCCCCAGCACACCTTCTGCGGCAACTGCAGAATGCACCCCAGGACCCGCAAGGGGAACTGCAGAAGGCACCCCGGGGCCCACAAGGGGAACTGCAGAATGCACCCCGGGGCCCGCAAGGGGAACTGCAGAATGCACCCCAGGGCCTGTGAGCAGGTCTCCTCTGACAGGCTCAGGACATTTCGAGGTGTGAGCAGCCCTGCACAAGCCCACAGACAAGTCTGCATCGCTGACTTATCGGGAAAATGACATGTGACCCAGTGGGCAGATGCTCCCAAATAGCCAGTCAGCTGCTTCCCTGTGTTCCCAGAAAGCATGGCTGTCACGTGGAGAAGGTTCCACGTGGGAACCAGCAGTTAGCGTAATGGCTATGTCATTGGACTCCCACGTAGTCGACCATGGTTCACGTCCCGGACCCGGTGGCTTAAAACTCACACCGGGCGCGTGTGCGTGCATGCCCAAGATCCCAAGAGGAGAATCTGTCTAGCGAGTGCATGCACCCTATAGCAAAAAAAACTCTAAAAAAAAAAAAAAAAAAGAAGAAGATTCCACGTGTTTAACATGCACCCCTGAGAGAAAACCGCATCGGGGCCTGGTTGGACCCTCTGGGTACCCGGTCGGCCTCTGATGGCACTGGGGTCCCAGAACCAAACTGCACATACAACGTCACTGGATGGAAAAGGAGCACTTCCTAGCTGGAGTTGAGCAACCAGACAAAAACGGCCTCAGACACCTGCAAGCACCTTGCTTCCTGCCACTGGCCGATCGTCCCTGTCACAAACTGGGACAGGCAGCCTCTGACGCTGACCCACCCCCAAACCCGTGCCCTTGGACCCTCCTCTCGAGTGCGTGCTAGCCCCATGACTTATTCCTATCAAGCAGAAGGCAGTGACAGTGAGATGTCACGCTGAGGTCAGGGGACCACCCCGGGGACAGCTGTCTCTGCTGCCGTCTTCTCCTCCTTCATGGTCCTTGATGAAGCTGTCGTACTGCGACAGAGGCCACATGACAAGGACCTGAGGGCAGCCTCCGGCCAGCAGGAGCTACGGTCTGAAGCCCTCAGTCCGAACGCTCACGAGGGGCTGAAGGCCCAGCGAGCTCAGACATGGCACCTGCCCCTGTCGGGCCGTGAGATGAAACCGCAGCCCCAGCCATGGCTGACTGCAGCCTGTGGGAGGCCCCGAAGCAGAGGGGCCAGCCTGGCCACAGCTGGGTCCTGACCACAGAACCTGAGAGGCGAAGGTGCATGGCTGTAAGCAGCTGAGTTTAGGGTGGTCTGTTACACACACAAGTCCTGAATGAAGAGGACCCCCCAACCACACCCTGCCCCAGCAGGCCACTTAGGGTCCCACTCCGGGCCAGCCTGAACTTGGGAACCGCCCTTACCTCTTCCTCCAGCCAGTCGTTGTACTGCACAATGCCAGCCATGACCACGTCCGCTCCCTTCATGTAAAACGTGATTTCTCCCGTGGATTCGTCCTAGACAGGGAGGCCGGCAGGGATGAGTACTGCGAGGACACCCTCTGCCTGCTGCAAGGTCTGCATGCTGTGAGTGACGGAGCATGAGGGGTCCTAACAGACGCCAGCGTGTTTTCACTTGGCCAAAGAGAAAGGGTGAGAAGGGGGCGCGTTCTAGGGCAAAAGCCCCGGAAAATAGAAGAAAACTCAAAAGCATTTGGAAAATTATGTAACAACAAAAACAGGACAGGAGGGATTTAAAAACCTTTGGTTTTAGACTTGTTACTGTTCCAGCCAGAATGGACGCCCCACTGCAGGATCATTTTACACGTGTACAAAGGACAGCCACCAAGAGAGCGGGGAGCGGACGGCCTGGGGCAGGCTTTCCCCAGCTCAGCCCCGCTGACGCTGGGCCAGGTGAGTCCTTGTGGGGGGCTGTCGGCCTCATAAGACACAGCAGCATCCCCGACCCCTAGCCCCTGGACGCCAGCAGCCCCCCATAGTGACCACCAAAATGTCTCCAGACATGAGCAGGTGTCTCCTGGGGGGCAACTGTCACAGTGGAGAACAAGGACCCCTAGGCCCACCTGGGGACTTGCTCAGAGAGCAGGCCACACGGTGTCGGTGCTCCCTGAGAAGACTTCCTGCGTGGGGATAACACTGCACAGACACCCAGGGCCTGCAGCCCAGCTGGGAGCACGTGCTCAAGCCCCTCCTCTGAACCTGCTTCCTCACCTGTAAGGCGGGGACGGTAACAACGCTCACCACGTAGACTGTCGTGGCTGAAACGAGAGTCCACAGAGAGCACGTGGCATGGGGCGGAAACACACGAAGGGCCCCTTGGTGATGGGACTCCTGTTAGGATGACGGTACCTTCTCAAGCCCTTGGTCAGTCCGACTGCACAGGGTTCAGGGTTCTCAGTGGGGATGGTTCTGTCCCCAGGGGACACTCGGTGAGACCTGGAGACACTGCAGGCTGTCATACTCGGGAGGGAGGTAGTGCCACCCCTAGCAGGTGGGGGCCAGGGATCCCACTCAGATCCTGCTGACAGGACAGCCCCACGATTCAGGATCCTCAGCACCAGATGTGAGCAATGCTGAGGCCCTCGGGAGTGAAGGCTGGAGGAGTGAGGGCCCGCTGGTCCTTCTCCACCTTTCCTCCATGGCTCCCACAGCGGGGAGGGGAGGCAATCGAGACAGGCAAGGAAACTGGGCCACGCCATCAGCCCCAATGCCTGCACTTCCCACCCTGGGCAGCCCAGAAGTGCCTGCAGTGCCTGAGCTGAGTATGAAGTAAACACCCAAAGCCAAGCCAGTGGTGGTGTTTCCTCTTGTAAAATAACTTGCAGATGCTCCCTTATCTTGGATGATCTTTTAGAAGAACATGCCGACTGGGCCAAGAGGAGGCACGGGCGTTGGAGAAGCGTCTAGCCGCATGCTTTACCTCCAACGGGTGCACAACCCGGGCCAGAGACAGCAGCCGGGTCTGAACATGAGAGCAGCGGGGTGGATTTCCCTTTCCCCTTCACCCCAATGGGGCTTAACAACCCGGCTGCAGGAAAGAACGCCCCCCACCGCTTCACTTCCTTCACACAGAAGGGGCCCCGGAGAGGTGAGGCGTCCGGTCCAATACAAACGCCGTGCAGGCTATCTGAGGCTGTGTCACTTCCTCCGCCGAGTTCATCGGGAATTTACTCCGTTCCCAGATCTCGCAGGGATGGCTGCCTGTGCTGTGCCATCCAGGGCCCTCATCACCCTGCGGTGGCCTGCTCTGGCATCTGTTCAAAGGCCTCTTTCAGCTGACAGTGACGACGGTATCATCCACGTGCAAGGGGCGGGGACACTGGGACATCGTGTGCATAGCACGCAAAGCAGGCGCCCCGACCCCGGAGCACAGACACCCTACAAGTCCCCAGAGTGCGGACCTCGCCGACCCCACCTAGTATCTTAGGAGACTATGAGAAGACCTTGCTCTGAGTGCAAGAAAATACTGCCGCGTGAGCGAGGGTTGCCCTGTGTTTAAAAGGCCTGATGAAACAGACAGAAGATGGCAAAGCATACCTGCCCAGGACGCTAAGCTGGCCAAGGGAAGTTTTATAGGGGGCTGTCCTGTACATGGCGGGACAGTGAGCAGTACCCCTGGTCTCTACCCACCAGGTGCCCATAGCACCCTTACCGGTGTGCTGACCACAAAAACTATCTCCAGGCATTGTCAAACACCCCAGGCTGAGAACCGTGGCCTCAGAGAGGTTAGCAAGAGTGAAACTGAGATCTAGCCCAGGAGAATCCTAAATGCAGATTTCCACTCACCCAACGTGGACAAAGGTCATAAAATGAGAACAATGAGCAAAATAATGAGTATTTTACCAAAAGCAGCCTTGCAAAGATAGAGGTTCACAGCGGGGATCACAGTCATGTGGGAGGCAAGGGTTAGATTCCTGGTCCAACTTAAAGGCCAGGCACGGTGGCACACACCTATAATCCCAGCACGGAGCCAGAGGCAGAAGATCATGACATAGCAAGACCTTGTCTTCAAAAAAATAAATAAATAAATAAGAGGGGGAAGGTCTGGCAGGTGGCATGATGGTTAAGGCGCTGGACTCCCACATGGCCGACTGCAGTTCAAGTACCAGACCTGGCGCCTTGCTCTCTCTCCTTCTCTAGCACACATGCCCATGCACGCACAAGCTCTATAACAAAACTAAAAAATAATAATAATAATGATCAATAAAGTTGAACAGATCATTTTAAAAAAAAGTGGGGGGATGAAGACAGCATCAGTGGCACATGGGTACCACAACACACAACCCTCTTTGACACTGGATCCCCCTCAGGAAAGTCCTCGGTTCGTGTCCTGGCTTCTTTCTACATGTTTGGGTGGCACACACATGCATGCCTGTGATCTGGGCTGGCTGAGGCTGAGGGTGGACTGTGGTGTGAATACTACTGAGGGTTCCTGTCTTCCTCTATTTTCCTCCTCCTGTTTCTCTTTCTCTCCTGAAAGAAATAAAATAAACTTTTCAAAAAAAATAATAAAAGAGAAACACCCTTGGGCCAGCAGCTGGCGTAGTGGTTAAGATGCTGGACTTCCACATAGCCAATTGTGGTTTGAGTCCCAGACCCTGTGGCTTGAAAATCACAACAGGTACATGTGCATGAGTGCCCAAAATCCCAAGAAGAGAATAGAGAATGGATTGTGGTGTGGCCATCCCCTTGGGGGATAATTTCTCACTTCCCCTCTCACTGTTTCTCTCTGGTGAGTGTACATGCCCTATGGCAAAAACCTATAAAAAAATCTTTAAAAAATAAATAAAAACACATTAAGCATTCCAAAAAAAAAAGAATAAATAACCAGGGACGAGCAGTTAGCATAATGGCTATGTCACTGGACTCCCATGTAGTCAACCGCAGTTCAAGTCCCAGACCCAGTGGCTTAAACTCACACTGGGCGCATGTGTGTGCGTGCCCAAGATCCCAGGAGGTGAATGGAGGAAAAGGGACTGCAGCGAGCACACACGCCCTATAGCAAAAACCTCTCCAAAAAAAAAAAAGAATGAGTAACTAAATATTAATACATTATTTCAACAAATGCCATAAATATATTAAAAATTTTGTTTTGAGAGGCCACCAGATGGCGTGGAAGTTAAGGAGCTGGACACTCCCATATAGCTGACTATGGTTCAAGTCTTGGGCCTGGCAGCTTGCTTTCTCACTTTCTCTCTCTTGCTCCTTCTCTAGTCAAGTTAAAATAAATAAATAAAGTAATTCAGAAAAAAAAAGATCTATACCCTAACAGTCAGTCTGTCTGTCTTACATTCCAAGTGGACGGACATATTGCTTTGTCAGTCTGCTTTTAACAAATAATTAGCAGAAGTGCGTCAGTATAAACTCACAAAAGAAGCTTGTACAAAACAGTCTTTCCTCCATAACTGTAGATTGGTGGTGAGTGATTGAACTATGGACATTTCAGTATTAGATCTGGGGTTAAAATGGGCACATGTGCGTGCATGCCCAACATCCAGAGAAGAGAATGGAGGAGAAGGGACTGCGGCGTGGCCATCCCCCCTGGAGGATGATTTCCTGCTTTCTGTCTCTCTGTCTCTCTCTGTCTGGGTGGCGAGCACACGCACCCTATAGGAAAAACCTCTCCAAAAAAAAAATGTTTCTTTGGGGCTGACAGGTAGTGTGTAATGGAACTGGACTCCTACATGGCCAACCGTGGTTCAAGTTCCGGACGTGGCAGCTTGCTTCCTCACTTTCCCTCTCTCTCATTCTGTCCCTCTCTGGTCAAATTTAAATGAATAAATAAATAAATAAAGTTAAATAAATAACTAACGTTATATAAAATAATTCTAAAAAATAAATTGTGTTTTAATGATACGAGAACATTTTTTTCATTATGTTCATATGGTTCAATGAAGGGGAGGAAATTTAGAAAGATTTCCATAAAATTTGATGCCGATTTTATGAAAATGTGTATAGATATTTATGTTTGCATATGCTTTGAAAGAAAGACTGAAAGGCAAGTCCCCGACGAAGTAAAAAGTAGTTGCCTTGGATTCTGAAAACAGAGATAAACAGTTTTGATCCCCTTCTTCCTATCTCTGTAGTACATGCCTTCACTGTGAATACTAACTTTTTTAATAACCTGGGAAGGAGGTTGTGCTACTTGAAAATAAAAGTAGATTTGCCCACCCCGATAGCATCTAGTTCCAGGCAGAGTCCCCATTCTTGCTGCAGAGGGTAGTGGGGTCACGCCTCATCGAATGTGACACGTGTGTGAGAACGCGAGCCCTTACAAGTACATAGAGTGGTCCCTGTGCTCACTCGTTCCACACGGGCTGACGCGGGGACTAGCTGACAATGATTCAGCTTTCAAATGACCTCGACACAGTCCACAGCCCTAGACCTCGAAAGAATAAGAGCTGGCACAAAATGGAAGTGCTTCCAGAGGAGATGGTGACTAACCCCCCAGGAAACACCCTCCTGCAGGGCTAACGCTGCTGTGTCTAGACTCGGATGTGCTGACAGCAGAAGCATCCTCAAGACATGCTGGGAAGCCCAGCTCAGGCAGGTGTGGATGAGGGGAAGCGGAGGGGAGAAGAGCCCCTTCCCCCTTGCAAGCTGCAAGGACACATGTCCTGCAGGGCCTGAGGGGACCCACTGGCATCTGGAACATCACACTCCCTTCAGATGTGACGTTCCAAGGCACACCCCAGCTGCATGTCACTCGGGTGAAAACAGTAGCTCGAGAAGCCACCTCTACCTGCTCCAAGGCTGGGAGGAGGTAGCCTCAAAAGACCCCCCTGGCTCCCATCTCCTGGAACTCATGCCCTTCTCTCCATCCACTTCCTTGGAGTGGGTTGGACCCGTGCTTGTCTCTGGTAAGAGACTAGGGCTGACATGACGGATCCACTTCTGAGACTGGATCACAGAGACTGCACACTCTCTGGTACAGCAGCTGACGAGTGCTGAGCCATGGAGAGGCCCATGTGGAAAGAACTGAGGGCAGCCTCTGGCCAACAGCCAGTACCAAGCTCAGGGCCTCAGTCCAACAATCACGAGGAATGAAATCCTGCCCGTGACACCAATGGTGACCGGAAGTGGATCCAGCCCCAGTAGGACATTTGGATGACAGCAGCTCCTGCCAACTCCTCCACCCTGAGCCAGAGAATGTGGCTAAACCACACCCAGATCCTGAACCACAGATAATACTGTTTTCAGCCACCAGATGTAGGGTAACCTGTTACGCAGCAATACATAGTGAACACCTCAACGTTATCATGGGTGCTCTGTGAGCTTTTCGGCACCCCTCTCATCATGCCCAAGCTCCTGGGTCCTCAGGGTAAAGACCATGGACTTGGAGCCAGACCACCTGGGAGCAAGCCCCAGCTCCACCATTTGCAAGCAGTACCTCAATTTTCTTTTCTATCAAATGTCAATCATAACAGTACCTACCTCACTGGATTAGGGTCAGAATTAAATGAGTTACTTTCTTTTTTTGAAGAGATTTTTGCTATGGGGCTCATGTACTCGCCGGAAACACAGAAAGAGAGAGAGAAAAAGTGAAAAATCATCCTGTAGGTGGATGGCCATGCCATAATCCCTTCTCCACTCTCCTCCCAGGGTCCCAGGCACGTATACACATGCACCTGGCGTAATTTTCAAGCTGCCAGGTCCGGGACTTGAACAGCAGTCAGCCATGCTAGGCCCCTACATGAGTCACTTTCTACAAGTCACTTAGAACTTCTGAACAAGGGCGAGCTGATGGTGTGGTGATTAAGGTGGCTGATCACACACTGCTGACTGTGTGATTCAAGTCCTGGAACTGACGGCTCGAAAAACATGTGGGGCTCATGTGTGTGCATGCCCAAAACCCCAAAAAGAGAATGAAAGAGAAGGGACAGTAAAGGGGTTATCTCTCCTGGGGGGGGGGGTCATTTTCCTTTTCTTTATTTTTCTCCAGCAAGCACATACACCCTATAGTAAACTTAAAAAATAAAATAAAATAAGAAAGGAAGGAAAGAAGGAAGGAAGGAAAGAAGGGAGGAAGGAAAGAAGGAAGGAAGGAAAAGAAGGAGGGAGGGAGGAAGGGAGGGAGGGAGGAAGAGAGAGAAGGCATGAAAAAAGACCTACTGAACAAAAGTAGTACAAGAGGGGCCAGCAAGTGGCATGGAGGTTAAGACACTGAATCCCACATGGTCAGCTGTGCAGTTGGAGTCCTGCACCCAGCAGCTTTAAAACTCATGCTGGGAACGGGAGTGTGCATGCCCCAAATCCCAAGGAGACTAGAGGAGAAGGGACTGCAGCATGGCCTTCCCTCCAGGGGTGATTTCTCTCCTCTCTCTCTCTCTCTCTCTCTCTCTCTCTCGTCCCCTCCAGGGGTGAGTTCTCTGTTTCTCTCTCCCTCCCTCCCTCTCTCTCTCTCTCTCAGGCAAGTACACATGCCCTATAGCAAAATTGGAAAGAAAGGAAAAAACACCATAGTCCAAGGGGTCTTTAGAAAGTTCGTGAAAAATGGGTATTGAACAAACTATACACAGATTTCAAAAATTCTTAAAACAAAACAAACTAGTATTTTAATTCCATTTTTCCATGAACTTTTGAAATCCCTTCTTATATGAACACCAGGTTTTCTAGGTTCCTGAGAATGGAAAATGGAATCACTAAAAGAGCAAATAGAAAAAAATGTTGATTCAGACTTTTCAAAATTCACAAAAATTTGTAAAATCTGACACTATCCAATGTTGGGAAGCAACAAATGAGGAATGGTGGGATGCAGATTAATACAACCACTTCGGAGGGAATGGTCATGATGTCTGGTGGAGCTGGTGTGGACCGAGTAAGTCTAAAACCCAGCAATGTATTTACTTCTGAGTATTTTCTGTTCAGAAACACTCACGTATGAAAAAAAGAGACCAGGAAAGACACCAATATGCACGGTAGCATTGTTCCTAATAGCAAAACATTTTTAAAAATAAAAAATAAAACTGGTGGGTTGGCCCTGTGATCTAGTGATTAAGGGAGCTGGAGCCCACATGACTGACCGAGGTTCTAGTCCCAGCCTTGGCAGCTTGAAAAACCACGCTGGGCACATGTGCATGCATACTCAAAATCCCAACAGGATGTAGAAATGAAGAGATTGTAGTGTGATCACACCTCACTAGCAGGCACTTTCTCTCTCTCTTTCTCTCACTCTCACTCTGACAAACACAGGTACTCTCTGACAAAAAAAAATGGTGCTATGACAACTATATATCTATAAGCAAAAGAATGAAGTTGAATCCCTACCTCACTCTATACATAAAAACTAACTCAAAATGGATCAATGACTTAAAGAACTCAAACTATAAAACTATTAATAAAAAAAGGTAGGGATAAACCATGACTTTGAAGTTAGCAATAGATTCTCATATATGACACCAAAGTCAAGAGCAACAACAAAAATAGAAAAGTGGGACCTCATTAAAATTAGAAACTTCCGTGCAAAGAGCATCATCAACAAAGTGAAAAGACAACTTATAGAATGGAAAAAAAAATTGCAAATCATGCATTGATAATAATCTATTATCAAGAATATATAAAGAATCCCTACAATTCAGCAACAACAACAACAAAAAAGACCTGATTTAAAAATGGGCAAAGAGGGATCAGCAGGTAGTATAATAGTTAAGGCAATGGACTCCCAGATGACTGATCACAGTTCAAGTCCCAGACCTGCAGCTTGCTTTCTCACTTTCCCTCTCCATCTCTGTCTCTCTCTGATGAACATACATGCCCTATAGAAAATTTTAAAATGATAATAATAATGAATAAAATTAAATAAATAATTCTTTTTTAAAAAACGGGCAAAGAGCTTGAATAGACATTTCTCCACAGGAGATACACAAATAGCAAGTATATGAAAAAATACTCAATATTATTAGTCATTAGGGAAATGCGAATCAAAATCACAATGAAATGCCACTTTGTAGCCACTAAGATGGCCACAATAAAAAAAAAAAATTAAGTGGAGCTGGCAAGAACATGGAAAAATTTGAACCTTCATACATTGTTGGTAAAAATGTAAAATGGGGGACCAGCAGTTAGTGTAATGGCTATGTCACTGGACTCCCACGTAGTCGACCGTGGTTCGAGTCCCAGACCCGGTGGCTTAAACTCACGCCGGGCGTGTGTGCGTGTGTGCCCAAGATCCCGAGAGGAGAATGGAGGAGAAGGGATTGCGGCGTGGCCATCCCCCCAAGGGGTGATTTCTCGCTTTCTATCTCCCTGTCTCTGTCTTTCTGGTGAGCACACACGCCCTATAGCAAAAACCTCTCCAAAAAAAGAAAATAAAAAAGAATGCAAAATGGTACAGCATTGCAGAAAAGCGCTTTAAAATTCATCATAAAGTTAAAGATAAAATAATTCAGCAATTAGGTAACTGACACAGCATGACTCTGCAGTTCCACTCCTAGGTATATTCTCAAAAGAATTGAAAACGGGTGTTCAAATCCTTACATACAGATGTTCACAACAACACTATTCACAATAGCCAACAAGTAGAAATGACCCAAATGTCCATCACGGGATAAATGGATAAGCAGAATGTGGGACTACTAGTCAACCATCAGAAGGAATGAAGCCCTGCTACAACAAGGATAAACCTTGAAAACATGATACTAAGAGAAGATACTGCAGACAAAAGGTCACGTGTCACATGACGGCAGTTATATGAAATGTCCAGAGTTAGCAAATCTGAGAGTCAGGAAGAACAGCAGCTGTGTGGGGACAGGTGGTGAGGGACCAGGGAGTGACAGCCAGTGAAAGCGGGATTTTCTTCTGAAGTGATAAAAATTTTTTGACCTTGACAAAAGTGGAGTTAGTTGTTCAACATTGTGAATGTACTAAGTACCACTGAATTGTTCACTTTAGGATGGTTATTTCACATTATGTGATTTTCACCTCAAAAGCGATACATGTATTTAATTATACACAGGAGAAGGAGGAAATGGATGGCCAAATAAATGATGACCATTACAGTCATCAGAACTTCCACTCTAGGGCTGGTTCACCGTAAGCTGATCAGCCACCCAAGGTCTGACCAATTGATGAACTAGCTTACTCTCTGCTTAGGGAATTGTACCCCCTTGTCTGTCTGCATGACAGATCCCACCATCAAGAGGCTTAGAAGGGAGTGAGAAAGCGTATGAAGCCACAGGACATCACACCGCACTTGGGTCTCCCGTGAGTGGAGGAGGACTCACCCTCACGATGATGCCCATGCGCTTGCTCTCGTAGGTAAAAGGGAAGATCTGCAAGATGGTGAAGTTCAGGATCTGGTCGCCAGGGGTCCTCAGCTGCATAGAAGACTGGTCTCGGCCCACCAGGGTCAAGCCCACGCTTTCCGTCCACTGTACCAGGGCCACCTAAATGTAAGACAGGGGCAAAGGTCAGAGATCCCAATGACACAAAAGTGGAAGGGGGAACAGAGAGAGGTGGCATGCAAGCAGTCACTGTTTCCACACTCAGAGATGAGAACACACACCCTCTGGCAATTTAATCAAATAAAAAACAAAAACAAGCAAACAAGCTAAAGACAAACTCTGGAACTCCAGACCCAGAAGCAGCTTCCAGCACTGGGGGGCAGGCCTTGGCTAGCCCGGCCAGCCACACAATACACCTTGTGGGTCTGAGCGACAGACAAAGCTGAACTCTAGATCTGAAATTACCAATGGGGGCCAGACACTGGCACAGCGGTACAACGCAACCCTCTAGGGAGCTGACCACAAAAGAAGGATCCGGGTTTGTGTCTGGGGACCGCGGGTACAAGCCCACAATTAGGGGCTGGTTGAGACTATACAGGTGGATTGTGGTGTTAAGACCTCCCCCATGGGGATGCTGTCTCTGTGTCTCTGTCTCTCTCACTTATGGGAGAAATGAATTTATTTTTTTAAATGGAAATGCTGGGCCAGCAGGTGGCATGGTGGTTAAGATGGCTGGATCCCACATGGCCACTGTGTGGTTCGAGTGGCTCGAGAGACACAAGCACATGTGCATGCCCGAAATCCTGAGAGAATGGAGAAGGGGTGGAAGAGTGGACATTCCCTCCTGGGTTTGCCATTTAAAAACGACCAGTGTCCCTGAGGAAGGGTGGTGTACGTGTGCACACAGACGCCTGCTAGCTGTGCTCTCTTCCCTGCAGTGACCGACTGCACCTGTTGCCCCCAGGCCACCCTGCAGCCACCCACCCAATCCAAACCTCATGGGTGTCCCAGGCCAATTCCAACAGGATACGAGCCCCCCCCGA